GGATGGCTAGAAGGATTAAAATGAAGTTTCTGGAGAGCAGAACGGTGGTTACTGGGGACTGGGGATAGTGGTTGGAGTTGGGGAGATGTTGGTCAAAGGATACAAAATTTCAGTTTGATAGGAGGATTAAGTTCAGGCGACCTACTATATAACACAGTTATCTACAGTTAACAACAATGCATTGTATTCTTAAAAATTGCTAAGAAAGTAGATTTTCAGTGTTTTCTAATTTTGCTTTCTTTCTATCTTTACATCCTCTGCTTGCAGTACAGAAAGAGAATGGGATTTGGAGACAAGCAATGCATGGGATTTGAAAGCTAGTTATGCCACATATTTATTGTGTAAACTTGGGTAAAGTTCTGAGGCTTTAAAAAAATTTGTAAAGTAGGGATGATTGTATGATAATAACAACCCCCTAAACAACAGTGGCTGGACTAGCACCTGGCACTTATAGATGCACAATATGGCATTAAATGCCATACATGTACCATAGGGCTTAGAGGATACTCAATGAATTCTGCTTAGCAGTGATTAATTTATCAATTGGAGAGAATATAAACTCAGTGGCTTTTATCTGACCCATTCTATATGCAGAAGATAAATAAGTGCCAGGGACTGTGTCTTTATACTTAAACACTTGAAATATAAATAAAGCAGTTATTAAAACTTAAGTCTAAGATTGAGCAGTCTCTGCTACTAAAGTGATGAAAGAAGACTTTCAGAACAATGTGGAGTTCAAGAAAGGATTTCTGCGGGATAATGAAGATTCTCTGTCCACACAGCAAACTCTAATTTATCTGAGTAGGCTTATGTGGCGGCTCCTTATAATCAGTAGACTAGATTATCTCTTCCTACTATGTCTTCCTTATGATTCTGCAATAGCTAAATCAGATTTTTATACTTTGTAGTAATGATAATAAAGATTTTTAGCCAAAACCAGGGTTATAGTTTTTCCATTTGGGTACAGATTTATCTCCCAGAGCTCTCCCTTCCCAAATCCCCTTTTCCATTAGTTTACAGGCCAAAATGAGCCTTACCAAGATAGGCCTGGGCAGATTGTCGTTCTCACAAATATTTGTCAGAGAAACTCCAAAGAGCTGTCCTGCCACAGGAGGAGATGTTGGCGGTGACAAGGGTAAGTTGTCCAGGTGAGTGGTAGAACCTCGCCAAAAGGCCCAGTTTATGATGGATCTTCTCCTTTTAAATGTCTTGTGACCTGAATCTAAGAAAGGAGTGAGATTATTAGCTAAACTAGTTTAACTCACTTAACCTTATTTCTACAATTTCCATTTTACAGCATGTTCATTACAATGGCTCAAAGAGAAAAAAAATGTTTATAGATGTCTTTTGTTATTGACAATTCAACCTATAAGATTTCATGAGAATATTTTACAAATGAAAGAACACTCAATGAAGGAAGAATCAAATGTTTGGGTTCTCCCATCCATTTTTGGGACATCACTGGTCTGTTGACTTAAGTTTTGGTAGTAAATTTTTAAAGGAGAAAGAAAGGCTCCCTTATTGACTGTAACAACTTAAAGCAAAAGGTGTTGCATATGAACACACATAATTTTCCCATTTTAAAGATGAGACTAGGCACACAGAAAAGTTTGAATTAGACCATAATTAATAATGAGAAAAAGAAAGTGAGAGGAGAAGATGGGGAGAGGAAGGGGAAGTAGGAAGAAGAGAAGGACAAGCTGAAGAGGAAGAGGAAGGAGGAGAGGAGTTTTCTCTTTTAAGATGTTCTCTAGAAACAAAGAATGCTTTATTACCTGATGTCCCACTCTACTACTGAGAACAGAGACAGGAAGCTAATGTCCTTCAATTTTTTCTTTCCTTTGCTACTACAAGGACTTTCATGTTTCTTTTCAGTTCCTGACTTTCAAAAGTATGTTAAAGGTAGCATGGATGGACGCAAACATGAGTGACACTTGCCCCCGCAAACAAAGTTTATAATCTAATAGAGAATGAGACTCGTCATGGTGGGGATAAAAGCAAGCATATTAACCAACAAAATGTCATAAGGAAGGAACAAAGTATCAAAGGCATTCAGAGGAAAGTCAGTCACATCTACCCAGTAGGAGGGAGGGGAGTGATCTTGGAGGTATTTGCATTTGATTTGTATTTTGAATGAACAAGATTTCAACAGATAGAACATCCAGCATAGTGTCTTGCATATAGTAAGTACTCAACATATCACTATTGGACAACAATTGAAAATGAGGAGGGATTTTAGTAGAAAAAGACAGCATGAACAGAACAGGCAGAAGTAGGAAAGGTCAACAGTAAGTTATACTTTTATGATACCACAGTGTAAAAATGTTTTTGGTGTTATCTGTGTCTAATTTTTAACATGAAAGTTAACAGATCTGCACAAGATCTGATACCTAAAAAGATGGCTCTTTAAGGTTCCACTTCCAAAAAGGGCTGATGCCCTGCAACATAGAAACATGTAACAGCTGCAAACTCTGGCCAAACCGAACAACCCTACTTGAAGGCACTAAAGAATGACTAAAACAGGGTAGAACTGGAGGTATAAGTTTGACACCTGGAGGAAGGGAATGGCATAGCACTGGGTGAATTTTACATTCTTAGAGCTTTTAGCCTGAAGGCAGGCCCCAGCATAGTTGGGGTGACTAAAATTTAGAGAGAAACTTGTACTCTTACTGGCTTGAAGAACTAGGGAACCGAGACAGAGGTACCCACAGCAGCTGGAAAGTGAGGGGATCCCAGAAAGGAGAAAACCTGATAGTGGGAACCCCAAATATTGTGTGTACATTCTGCCCAAATGCCTGGCTCATACTGAAGCTTGCATTTGTGGGGCACATTCAAAATAGCCTGCAATTAAGGTTAACAGAACTAAGATTTGAGGAGCCATAATGAGCAGGTAGTGTCCACTCATGGTGTATTTTACAAACGAAAGAACACTCAATGAAGGAAGAATCAAATGTTTGGGTTCTCCCATCCATTTTTAGGACATCATTGGTCTGTTGACTAAGTTTTGGTAGTAAATTTTCAAAGGAGAAAGGCAGGCTCCCTTATTGACCGTAACAACTTAAAGCAAAAGATGTTGAATACCAACACACATAATTACACTCATGGTGTAACTCCATTATCTCCAGTAGAGTGCATGGGAATTAGTCATTAACTCTGTGTGGCACTGTTCTTTACGACACCCAGCCAAGCTGCCCAGAGATGATGTTTAGCTCCCAACATTCCCTAATAATGAAACACTGAAGGAGATGATCTCTTCAAGGAGGACATGGTCAGTAGTCTCAAAGGCTAATTTCAAAGAAGTCTTCTGTGTTGCTTGACTATAATATACCATAGCATTTTATTCCCTCAGAATAACCTACTTAAACCAAATATTAAAAAAGCCAAGTTGTGGGAGGATAAGCAAATAAGCAACATTTGACCAAATGGCCTGAAGACCATCATCTGCACTTCACTTCCCTGGGATACAGTAAGTACATCACATCCACACAGGTGCGTAAGGCTCTTTGGCTCTGGAGTCAGGTCCTGGCTCAGACACTTATTTGGGCAAGTTACTTACCCTCTTTCTTCAACTTGAAAATAAAAAAAATATTGTCTACTCCTCAGAGGTTTATTGAAGGGGATCATGTAGGATATTGTCTGAAAAGTGCTACTCTTCTGAACAGTACTACTTTCCCGAGGGCATGGGTCACAGAAGTGTTGATTAAAGCTGCCAAGATACCAGTCTCCTCACAAAGAGGACCT